AAGAAACAAGTCATTGAAAAAATAGAAGCCACTATTGAGAGAATGAAGAAGGCAACAAGTAATTTCGGAGAGACGTTTGAGAAACTTAAGGCACGTAGGAAAAATGGAAAGTCCTTCCCCGTGAGAGCTAATTTTTGCGTGAGCGTTATTGATGGAGACAATGAAAAAACAAAGAAATTAATCATTAGTTGTTTTTTGAAAGATATTACAAATGAGTTGAAACATGCAATACTAATTGATCAAGAGAAAGCTAAATCGGAAGCTTTATTGTTGAACATTTTTACCACTTCCTGTTGCGAATCGCCTCAAAGCCGGAGAAAAGAACATTTATGAAAATATTAAGGTGAGTATTGGAAATGATGAAAACATTTGTCTAGACTTTGTATATATATATATTTATATTCATTGAAATTGATGTAAATTAGGATGTCACGTGTTTATTTTCAGACATTGTCGGATTTACAAGCATGAGCAGCAAATTAGAGCCACATCAAGTCGTTGAAATGCTTAATATTATTGTTAATCAATTTGACCTTTTATGTGAGAGACTTGCTTTGGAAAAGATTAAAACAATCGGTGATGCTTATTTCTTAGCAGGTTAGTATACAAATCATACATTCTAACTCACTATAATTAATTCACAAACAAAGGTGGTTTGCACAACAAAGAGACCGATCACCCCGAAAAAGTCTTACTTTTTGCGTGTGGCCAGTTCTCTATTCTTTACAATTACAATGTGAAACGAAATGCCAATCTAAATATTCGTGTTGGTATTCACACAGGAAGGTATGTTCTCTCATTATTAGGAAATTTTTGATGTTAATGTTTTTACATGGAACTTAGTGTTACTGCTGGTGTTCTAGGTTCATCAAAATTTAGTTATGACTTGTGGGGTGGTAAGTAAAGATTTCAAATATGAAATTTATAATGTTATGTCACTTATCTCAACATTAGACACGGTGAACACAGCGTCACGCATGGAATCTACTGGTATTGGTGGAAGAATTCAAATTTCTCGCCAAACCTACGAACGCGTTTATGATTTGTATGAATTCGAACCAAGAGAGGTCGAAGGTAAGTTGTGTGAAAAGGTTTTTACAACTGGTTGTTCAATGAAATGACTGAACTTTCCAAAGTCAAGGGCAAGGGACTTCAAACCACTTATTTACTGTCTCAAAAGTATCATCAGAATCCAGATCCTCAAGCTGAAGCTTTCAATGCCAACAAATTACTTGGATTTGAACTTGCAGAAGTGAATCAAGAAGAAAAACACCAATTTGAGCAAGTATCATTTATCAGTAGAGCCTTCTGAATACGATGTTTCTGAAGCAGAAGATGAAGAAAAGGAAAAGAATAGTGTGGTTGACTTGCCCATGAATTGAGACCGCTGTCCCAGATTTAGTATTTTTATCAAGACTCGGGTCTCATTAAAATCACATTTCGATATTGGAACATTTTCTCTTGTTTTGAGGCTTAACATCAACTTACAGACTTCTCATTCACAGAACCATGTCAACAAGTGTTCCAATTCAAGTTCAAATCCTTTTCTTGCAGTTGAAGAGTGACAACTTTTTGAAGGGTGAACCTGACACTGTTGTATGGAGAGAAAATTGATCATTATTCAAAAAGAAATAACATGCATTCTCACGCTCCCAACGCAATGATCCAGGATCAAGATCATCATGATGTTAAGACACAAAATGGTCAATTTTATGGTTTGCTGTTTTTAATGTGGTTGCTTGGCTTGCTGTGGTCATCACAACAACATCATCTCACTAAACTCAGTAGCTTCTCAGCTTCTCCTCTAACTCTCCAACGTTGCTCCCCTCACTCCTCTACCTTGTAAATTATTAAATAATTGATTTAATCAGCAGTACTGTCATGCTCTTGGTCACTATGCAAATGGTTGTCACAATAAAGAAGATCATTGTTTATTGTTCGTTTTGCACAACTACTGGTGTCACTATTCCTCCTCTTCTTCGCTAGATGCTGCAGCATCTCCTCCTTCTTCCTCTGAATTCTCTTCCTTGTATGGCCCCAACGGAGATGGTGCTTGTGGTGTGTCCAAAACGTTCGGATCAAAACCATCTCGGATCATGTCTCGTTCCAATTGCACTCTTGGTACTCCGACCTTATATAACAATCGGAAATATCGAGCAAGACGAGGGTCTTGTTCGCATGTTGGGATATTCGAAGCAGTAGATGTGTCTCCAGACTCGATACCACCTCGAACGGATGGCAATACCGTATTCGAATGATCAGAAGTGCTTGCGACACCTGTAGTGACAGGCAGAGGTGGTATCACCATTCCAGTTGCTGTCATTGGAGGTGGTGGCGGAATCACTCCTGATGAAGTTGAAGAACCAAATCCTGGTGGAGGTGGAGGAATGTTTCCTGTCAATGATGGAGGTGGAGGTGGAACATAACCGGAAGATGATGCTCCGAACGAAGGATCATGGATGGGTCCAGCTGCTGTTGTCGTTGTTGTCGGAGAATTCACAGAATTTTCAAATTCTTTCATTTTGGCTTCCATTCCATCAATAGATTTTAATTTACTTTCGAGTAGTGAGAGTGTGATTTCGATTCGAACCAAATCATGTTGTGCTGCGTTGAGTTTTCGTTCACATTGGAGTGAAAAATTATTTAATAAATTGATGGTTTGAATACAAAAAGTATTGACCATGTCGAGAGTGTGATAGAATTCAATCGGAGTGTTCTCGATTTTTTCGGTGAGAGGGTTGGTCCGAAAAGAGGCAGACATGTTTCGAGGTGTTTGAGACATTTTTTAAAGTTGTGCACCAGTGGTGCCAACAATAAACTAATTAGATTTTTTAAAGTTGTGAAATAAAAAAATCTTGACATTCAGCATTTATGAAGCCCATGCAGTTTTTATTCACACCATTTCGAGCAGAATCTAACAAACTCACCCACACCACAAATGATCAACCCAGATCACATACCTTTGTCTATTCATCTTGCAATTCATGATGACCATCATATTGATGCAATGAATGGTCATTTCTTCTTCTCCTCTCCTCCGAATGCTCAAATTCTTCCGATGACGCCATTAAGTTTTTCGATCTTTATAAAATCGATAAAACATCACGACCACACACACTCCACAAATCAAACTTCCAATAGCACTAATAATTCCAATAATTTTCCAGTGCGAAGAAGCAGGTGTATAAATTTCATACGAGACCCAAATTCGATCTTTTGGATTTTCAAAACAAGTCGTTGTGAAACCTTCCGAAAAAGTAAAATAAATGGTGGAATCTTCGAATCGAAAAGTGGTTCGAATGTTCGGTTGAGGGCAGGTAATTTCTCGTGGTTTGATCGAATTCGAATGGTGTGTGAGGAGTGTCGGAGGAAGGGACATGCTGTGGGAACTCGATGGACTTGCAATAGTGCTGTTGTGATCCTTGTTGTGTTTTAAACAAACGATGGCTGAACAATACTTGTTTCGCCTTTTCCCATACGATTGTTCACATTGGACGAGAGGTGACATGACTGTGCAGTTGACTGGCACCGAGTAACTTTCGGCGTCGGAACTGAAAGTCCGATTCGAGATCATTGTGGCGCCACAATGAAATGATGATATTAATGAAATCATTTGAAAAGATAACGACATCCAAAGGTATGCCACCAAAAAGAGTGTTGTTTTAGTATTAAAATTGTTGTTGTTGATGAATTTAAGAATGGAATGATAATGATCTTTTTGAAACAAACGTACTTGAAAGCTATTCCGAAAAACACTCCGGTTAATGTCATCAAAATGAGAGATGCGATCGAGCACATCACACCAATGGTCAACAAGACCATTCCAGGTCGAAATTCCATCTCGGCTCCAGAGAACAATTTTCAATAAATTATTTCGATAATACAAGGCTTGTCTTGAAATTTAATTTTGAACGAAATGAAATGCAAATTTTTTTAAAAAAATATTTTTACAAATTGTGTGGTGAAAGCTTATTCGGGTTCAAAAGGCTAATCATCGTTAGAGTCATTATCACCAAAATCATCGAAAGTTGTATTCAAATACAAATTAGTGTTGTGGTGTTCATAATGTAAGTATTCATATTTTCGATCGAAATAAATTTCGAAAAATAATTATTCGTTGATGATTAAAATTATTATTTTTATAAATTGTCGTTATAAAATCTCTCTTTGTTTCGAATGATGATGTTTGGATCATTCTTTATTGTTCCCAAATACTTTTGATCATGAAAATTAGTTGGATAAGAATTTCACATCTCACTTGACACAAGAAAGAACGGGTAAGTTAGTGCGTGGAACGATCGTCTCCATTTGATCACCATCCTTTGCTTTGTGATTTCTCTTGATCCACATTCTCTTGTTCACAACATGTTGAAACTTTTGCGAAGTTTAGAAAATTCCATCTCCATCACCGAAGAAGAGTGAATTTCCCTCCTCTCGAAGAGAACTCCTATGACTCCCGAAGAAACAACAACACAACCATCCAATCAAGTCATTTATCAAGATCTTCCAAAGAAGCACAAATTTAAGGGAGAAACTAAACAACATCAACAACCATCACCGATCAACCATAATTCGACATCTCCTGGTTCTTCTTTTATTGGTAACATGTCAGCAAACACTTCCACTACTCAGGATAATTCCCAAATTGGAAATATTCAAAACACAAATGCTGCCACCACGTCTGGTGTTACTTCTATGATTAAACCTGAAGATCTTAACACCATGGTAGATGAATTGGATTACTTGATTGGAAGTGCTCCAACTGCTTCTTCAACGTTAAATGCCACTTGTCAACCTTCACTCAACAACCATTCTTCGAGAGGAACAGTTTCATTTCTGTCTTCTGAAGAAGAGGAAAAGCTGCCATGCAACTTGGAAATCAAATTGGTCATGCTGTTTCTTCTCAACAACCACTCATATCTGCAGCAGCATCATCGAATGAAGGTGATGATTTGTATTTAGTGGTGAATACTCTCAAATCGGATTATGATACTGAGACACTCAAATATGAATACGAGTACTTCCCAAAGGATATTGTCAGGAACTTTACATTGACCTTACAACGAATGCTTCTCAAAACCATTCAACACATTGCAGCTAAGAATAATCTGACCAATACAGATCCTGTCTTGAAGAGAGGAAAAACCATCACTGATGAACATCGAAAAGAGTTTTTAATTTTTGAACTTGGAAAGAAGGCTGTGAATGTTAGTGTGAAACATTTCTTAACAGAACTCGATCGAGAAGATATGAGAACTGCATTGAAGGATTTACTTCATTATGATGGAGCAGTTCGTGAGTTGGAGAAAAGCTTCTCATAAGGAGATTGATCCTGATTATACTCTCACAGCTAAAACTGTTCATACATTGAAAAAATCTGGTTTGAGAGCAAACTTTAAATTACTTTTCGAAAAACTGAATGCAGAGACCTTACTTGATAATCTTCAAGATTCCACACTCATACTCTTTTTACAGGCATTGGAAATTGAAGAATTTGACACAACACATTCGAACTTGGTGGATGCCATTCTCGAAGAAATATTTCTCTATGGCGCTAAGGAAGTTTTATGCAAATGTAAAAAGAGTGTTCTCAAAGAAGCAGCAGAAGCTTCACAATACGATCAAAAGAAACAAGTATTTGATGCTTCTCCAACTAAGAAATGCTCTCAGAGGTTATTCTTGTTGATGAATATCCTCATGTAGCTGAAAGATTTAATGGTGAGACTGAAAAAGAAGAAACCTCATTTCTTTGAATCTAGTTCCAAATCAAAGAAATCAACAGCGGATATTCCTTCAGATGATGAATATGCAAGTCCTTCACCATCCTTTAGCTCTCCAATTGGATCATCCTATGATGGAGATTTGAGTTCTCCAAATGCTAAGAGTTACAAAAAGAGAGGACGAAAGAGAGTCATTAACACTGAGGGGGAGAGACCTCAAATTGAAAAAGGAATTACCTTTGAAGATCTAAGAGACAAGTATTTAGTTCAAGAATTAATTGCCTTTGCTCAATCGAAAGGCATTAAATATGTCGGTGTGAAAAAGAATGATCTCTGTAACAGTATTCTCAAATATTTGAATGGTGAAATGATTCTCTCTGGACAAAAGAGAGGTAGAGGAAGACCTCCAAAGAAGAGAAAGCAACAAGAACTTGGTGAATCCCA